AATTGACTCTTCAAACTGCCATTCATTAGTGAACATGTAACTTAAACAAAATGGCGTGATTCGGCATTGTGAAAATTATAGAGGAATTAAATAATAATGTGGGAGTCACCCTGCGATTCGCCTCGTGAATCTTTGGCCTGAGTTGGTTTCTCCAATATCTTCAATTTATGTATTTTTCTTGGGACAGTGGAATGCTTGTGGCCGTGAATTCATAAGAAACTAAATTCCCAAAATACAGTTTTCTTTAGTTTTTCTGAATTGACGGTCAGTAGTATGACAGTTCAAGATGAACGAACTGAATGTTGCCCTTTTATTTTTATTGGTATGTGGGTTCAACTGTAGCTCTTAATTCCATGGGACTGGTAGTTCGAGGTGGCTCTCGAATGAACGTCACTTGGGTGAATTTTATTTTATTTATTTTTTATTTTTATTTTTATTTTTGGTTTTTGTTGTGGTTTAACCTTAATGTAAGAATTGGACGTGAATTTCAAATGTCCTTATTTTGGCAGGTGAGAGTCAATGCTTTGCTTTGTCTAGGAGATTTGATTCCTACACTCGATAAGCGTGCTATTTTGGAAATTCTGCAAACAATTCAGCGTTGTACTGCAGTTGACCGTTCTGCTCCTACCCTTATGTGTACTCTTGGGGTGTCAAACTCAATTCTTAAGCAGGTAACAGTTTCCAATAAGGAATCTTGTTCTGGAGTCGTTTTATCTGCTTCTGTAGCATTCTACCCTTATATTGCAATGTATTATTACAAAGTTGGAAGATATAATTCGTCATCGTTGCTTTTATGATTTTCAGCATGGCGTAGAATTTGTTGCAGAGCATGTCCTCCCACTGCTGATACCTCTTCTTACTGCCCAGCAATTAAATGTTCAGCAGTTTGCCAAATACATGCTCTTTGTCAAGGATATTCTGAGGTAATGTGTTGTGCTTCTTCACCCCATTAATGTCTGCATGCTTACATGCATTCTTATCAGTTTCAGCATTATATAATTCTTTCTCGCGTTTAGTTTTTCTAATATTGAGTGTTACTCTCCTTTTATGTGTTGGACCTATTGGTTTTGTGGCAGGAAGATAGAGGAAAAACGAGGAGTTACTGTGACGGATTCTGGAATTCCAGAGATAAAACCATCTCCATCTGCCAATGGGCTCCACTCCCAAGTCCCAAGCAAAATTAGCGGAAATGTTGCCACTGCTGCGAGCAGCAGTCCGGCATGGGATGAAGATTGGGGTCCCATCAGAAAGCAGCCCTCCAATTCCCTCCAAAATTTTACAGATTCCATTACCTCCACTTATCCCACTCTGGGTAATGAACCAATTCAAGTAACTTCTTCACAGCCAAATTCGTTGTTGCGAACTGCAGTATCTAGTCAGCAAACACCCGTGTCATGTCCCCCAGTTGATATAGAATGGCCTCCTCGAGCATCTTCTGGAGTTAACCCTGTTGCTGATGCTGAGAAGCAATTAAATGCAGGAACCTCATCCAGTTCCAGTTTTGATGACATAGATCCTTTTGCTAACTGGCCCCCACGGCCTAGTGGCCAAGTAAGTGGAACGGGCCCTTCCAACAATGGTATGATAGAGTCTCCCAGAAACAAATATGGTCCTAGTTCACTGTCCAGTACATCAAACAGTATGAACCTCTACAACAATAGCAATGATGGTTGGGCCTTTGGTACAGGAAGTTCTGTTGAGCAAATAGGACTTAATCAAGGCAATGCATCGATTACTGGTGGCTTGGGTAGCTCAGGTTTTAACCCCCAGAGTTCTATTGGATTTATGAAACAGAATCAACCGATGTCGGCTTCAAATGCTTACACAGATAAAAAATCAGCTGATCTTGGGTCCATATTTGCTTCTGGAAACAATGGGCAGACAGCACTTAGGCTTGCTCCTCCCCCATCAACTGCTGTAGGTCGAGGAAGAGGCAGAGGGAAGGGTGCTAGTTCAGCGTCACGCTCCAGCCATGCCAAATCGGCAACTGAACAGCCACCCCTTTTGGATCTGCTATAAGCTTAATGCATGGTTTGTACCTTCATTAACGTTGGATGTAAAAAGGGCAAAACAAAAGATTTGGGAGTGGCCCATGTGGAGTAGGCCTGCCTTGCTGTGTGGAGAGATTGATTTTGTAAATGGTTTTGGGATACAAGTGTCATATTTCGAGCATGGGGGAGTGACTGCAGCAGCTCTCGGGGATGGCAAGGTTTGTTATGTATTGATCTTTTCTGTGCTTAGTTTGTATTTTGTTGTGATTTGGCACCAAATTTTGCACTGGTAATTTGAAAGGTTTTTCGGTTCAATTATTCTGGGTAGTGTATTGTTCGTTGCAGGCCCAGCTTCAATGACTGGGTTTGAAATCAATAAAAGACATTGTGGGTGGCTAAATGCTAATGGAATTTTGCTGCTCTGATATGATTTTGTAGTCACCAACTCATCGCCAAGCGCCTATTTTACTCTTTCCGTTCATTTTTTTTTTCTGCTGTGGGAAATTGTTACATGAGGTGAGAGATTGAAAGTGGTTTTATTGTGGTTATGGTAGTAAACACTCAAGTGCTTTCCCCGTTCTGACTGCTGAGTGTGTGTGAGTGGTTATTGTACATTTCAATTTCGTATGTGGTAAAATCATGATTGGCTTATCCTCAAATCAAGATAGCAATTCACCCGTTTGATCCCTATTTGGGTACTTAATTTGGTCGTGCTACAAACGCAGCTATCTTTCTCGGTAAACCAATAGGTATAAGACCTCCAAACTTTAAACTTTTAGCTCAATAAATAAACAGACTATACTCTTCGAACGCCTGCATGACAAATCGCATGGCATGATTTATCTAGTTAAATAATCATTAATCAACCAAGAGTAATGCATGTTACCAAGCCTCATTTCAGACAGGACCTTTGTAATATGCTTCTAATGATTTCCAAATGTCAGATATGGGTTAGAGGTCGGACCTCTGTTTTTTGAGCGAGACTCAAATATAATATAAAATATCATGAAGAGATTCGAACTTGAACACAAATAGAAAGTCAATTTGATTAGGCTAAAATATGTAGTATGTTCATAAAACACAGACAAGTGTTTTGAAGCACGAACCCAAGGAGACCGCTTATCACCTGATATTTAATCAGTTTTGTGAGAAAGATGGAGGGCCACGTAGGCTCTGTCACGATTTATTTGAAAATGTCCAAGTGGTGATTGGGTTTCAAGTTAGTGAAATAGCAAGTAGAGTGTTTTACTGGTCTGGTACTGTACAACTACCCACTTCTCCCTTTCTGTTCAAACTACTACTTCAAAATGTCTACAAAAATAGTAAAATACATTATAAAACGAGCTTAGTCCTAAAGCAAAGGAAACAAAGTAGCTAAGGAGATCCCCATCAAGTTTTAAAGATGTGATATCTGTACACCATCGTATAGTGTTACAATTTTATTTATACTATAATTCAATATTCATCTTTAGTTTTTAATTTTTTTATTACTATGTCCTAAAATACGACAAATTAACTTTGACACCTACTCGTATATATATAACCACGCGATAAGCATTTTAGTCCCGCACACAAAACTTTATCTGAGAAACTTAAGATTCAAACAAAAGCGACACACATGGGAAGACATGACGAAAAAGAATTATGAAAGTAATCGGCGCCTATTTGTTAGCGCCATCCGCGGGGTTGAAGTTGAATGACTGACGAAAGCGGCGCCATTAGCGCCTCCACTTTCCCTCATCAAACGGACAAAAAGAGGAAACACACATGGATTGGGATGTGAATGGAATATTGGAAAATGCCGGGAATTTCAATAAAGTGACCATTATTTTTACTCCATCGTATGTGAATTCTCTGCCTAACCCTAATCCCCTCGCACATGACCCTAAATCAGGGACTCTGCTTTCTCCCTCCACGAGGCATTTGTACACAATTGCCGCACAAAAATGAGAAATTTTTCAATATGATCGGTACACAGAGTAATAAACCACGTATTCCTATACGCTTAATAATATTTCAGACGCATTTAAAAAAAAAAAAACTATATATATGGCCATTGGACCACTGGTTAAGAGAAACTGGGCCCAAATGCATGCCATGCATGATAATGATGTTTGTAATTTAATCATAGTTAATGATGGTAAAGTAGTAGTTAGGACTTAATTCGGAGTATTGATAGGAATTCATCTGCTGATTTAGTTACGCTTCAACAAATTATTATGAATCCACATTTTATGCTCAATATGGTGGGTTACCATCCGAAACAAGGGACAAGATCAAATAAATAACATGTTTGACTGCATTAGTGTTATACTCAATTTCTCATAGATTTGGAGTAGACTAATTAATTAGGTAATTTTGTTAAAAATAAAAATAAATTATATATTCATCACACTACCAACAGATGGGTAATAATGACTTAGGTTTTGTTTTTTTATACTACGATCTTTCATTTAAAGGTAGAATATTTACACAGTAAATCAGTCAAAATAATTAAATTTTGAACTCACTGTCATAACGATTCTCACTTAAAATGCATAACGAGGCATAGGGCCTTACTTTTATGGTGCGTGCTTGAAAAAGAAGATCAAAGGTTGAATAAGATATATTACTTTGCAACACGCCACCGTTTTGTTCCTCCTTGTAAATGTTGTTTAATTCTTTAAGGTAAAAAAAGGAAACGAAATAAGCAAAATATTATATTTCATTTAATTAATACTATTGTTTAGTGGTATTTCTTTTCATTTGTAAGAAACTGTAATATCGAATTTTGTAGATAATGAATTCTATAGCAAATATATGCTTTTATGTAAACATAATGTTATATTTAATACCATATACAATATAATATATATATACACGTAAAGAAAGGGGGAATGAAGGAAGAAGAAAAGGCCAGAATTTGCGGAATGGTGACTGGTCTTTCCCGCCCCTATTTAAAGGCATCTCAATCGACATAAAGTCATGAACTAATCTCAATATCGCATTACTCATTGGGTGCTTAATATTAAGTACCAATGGCAATGAGACTATCATTAAGCATCTTCATCTCTCTCTTTGTTATATTGGGCAGTAGTATTAGTAGTAGTGTCCAAGTCCTAGCTGCAGGCAACCCTAATTACAGAGAGGCCCTGGCAAAGTCCTTACTCTTCTTCCAGGGACAAAGGTCAGGGAGGCTCCCCGCCGGCGCTGCCCAGCAAATCACATGGAGGTCCAATTCTGGACTCTCCGATGGTCGTCAGGCATATGTAAATATGCTGTACATACATATTTAATTACTGCATTGTGTTTTGATTTATATATATATATATATATATATATATATATTATTATTATTATTTTTAATTAAGTTCACTATAGATGCTCAATTTCTGGGACATTACCTTACCTCTCATGCATGCAAACCTATTTGCACTATTTGTAATGTGGTCTCTGTAAGTTAGGGAGGGAAGGGAAGGTGATGCTATAGTCAACCGCACATGTGAGAAATCCTGTAAGTAGTAATGTGGTGGATGGGCGGCAAGAGGGCGGGAACGTTAAAATGCTTAACTGTGTTTTAGGTTAAAAGTATTTTTTTGATAAATAATAAATTTTAATAAATTAAGACATTCACCATATATATTAAAGTGACGTGAAATGTATAAATATGCTCTTACATCGTGTGATTTAAAATTTTGATCTGAAAGTATTGTTTCAATGGATAATGCTTGGAGTATCACTATCATCAACTAGTTTTGTGCTAGCTATATATGTGCAAAGATGATAAGCTAGGCATATGTAAATTAGACGAACAAAAAGAAAAGAAAAATATGAGTGCAAATAAAACCTTCCGAATTTCAATATAATTTTCTTTGATGATATATGCACATCCTAAGAAAGCTTATAGTTTAAGCTTCATTTTACTAAATTTGGGAGCTCAAATGATTTCTTAACAAAAAAAGGTAGATGTAAAAGAAAAGGAATGGTGGATGTAATGAAAACAAGCTCTTTGATTTTCCTTTTTTCTTTTTATCTACTATGTTTGTACAAAATAAATTTATTTTAACATGTGTATTTTATCGGTATCTCAAATAAATCACACGATGCATTATTATATGTTGTAAATCCTTTGTACATGATAATGTGTAATTGACTTAAGATATCAACACATCGATGATATCGTATTATAAAAAAGAAAATTGATTTTTTTAAAATTCTAAAAAAATACTAAAAAGTCAGGAACGAGAAATTATTTTGTGTCTTGTGTGCCAAATATTATTGTGTCGACAAAAATTTGTGTTGGAGACTAACATGAACATTCTACCTATATGAAAATATTTGCATCAATTTTTGCAGGTGGACTTAACTGGAGGATACTATGACGCTGGAGACAATGTCAAGTTCAACTTCCCAATGGCATTCACCACCACAATGCTGTCATGGGGAGCACTTGAATATGGCAAGCGCATGGGCCCTCAGTTACCAGAAACCCGCGAGGCAATTCGGTGGGCCACAGATTACCTTATAAAGTGTGCTAGGCAAACACCCGGCAGACTCTACGTTGGGGTTGGTGACCCTAACGTAGACCATAAATGTTGGGAGAGGCCCGAAGACATGGACACTACCAGAACCGTGTACTCAGTCTCACCAAGCAACCCGGGCTCGGATGTTGCGGGAGAGACAGCCGCTGCATTAGCGGCCGCTTCTTTAGTTTTCCGGAGGGTTGACCCAAAATATTCAAAGTTGCTGCTCAACACGGCCAGGAACGTGATGCAATTTGCAATTCAGTACCGAGGTGCATACAGTGATTCCCTTGGGTCTGCAGTCTGCCCATTTTATTGCTCATATTCAGGATATAATGTAGGTGACATATTTATCCTTACTATATTTTACATTACTTTTTTATTTGTTAATTTATTTCTATTTTTGTCGACCTTTGTTAATTTATTGATCTTTCTACTTTGGTGAAAAAATAATAATTTAATTTCAGGATGAGCTGCTGTGGGGAGCTGCATGGCTTTTTAGAGCAACTAATGAACTTTATTATTACAATTTTATAAAATCCTTGGGAGCCAGTGATTCAACGGACATTTTCAGCTGGGACAACAAATTTGCTGGTGCTTATGTTTTACTATCAAGGGTAAAATTCCATGCTCATCATCAACCTCTTTCCACCTTATTTTAATAGAATTTTTCTATCAAGGGCCCACTTAATAATGATTCGTTTTTAGTTTTCATACTTTGTTTTAACTTTAAAATGATAAAGTGGCTTATTTATTTCTAGAGAGCACTCTTGACTAACGACAAGAACTTTGAGCCATATAAACAAGAAGCTGAGCAATTTATGTGTCGGATTTTGCCGAACTCACCCTCTTCAAGTACTCAATATACACAAGGTAAACATAGTTGTTTGCACTATTGGTTTCATCACTTCAACCAAGTCTTGGCCTGCCAAAATCTCAACAAGTATAGATTTAAATATCAAATACGGAATGTTTAGTAAGAAATTATTATTAGCAATTTAAAATCGTTATCGTGTCTTTTTCCTCCCTCGTTTTTCCGTTACAGAGGAGTGTAAAATACATTTTTTCCTAACTATGCATAACCGTTTAAATTATAGGAGGGCTCATATACAAGCTGCCTGGAAGTAACCTCCAATATGTGACCTCAATAACATTCTTGCTTACTACCTATGCCAAGTACATGGCTGCTAGAAAGCTCACGTTTGACTGTGGTAACCTCGTTGTCACTCCGATGGCCTTAAGAAACCTTGCAAAACAACAGGTACATCACTTAATCCTGCATGACAATGTCATACTGTAAATTTGTACAAATGATCATGTTAATTACGTCCGAGTGTTTACTTACAATTTCAATTGGACATGATAATTAAGTCTAGCAAAAAATCATTATCGTATAAATAGACATATACATTTGTGATTTTATATAGGGGCTGATATTTTATTGAAATTTTTAGGTGGACTACATATTAGGGGTAAACCCTCTGAAGATGTCCTACATGGTAGGGTATGGCCCCTACTATCCCAAGAGAATTCACCACAGAGGATCCTCATTGCCTTCATTGACAAGCCATCGCCAGAGCATAGGTTGCGATGGTGGTTTCCAACCCTTCTTCTATTCGCTAAACCCAAATCCCAACATCTTAGTTGGAGCCGTTGTTGGAGGTCCAAACCAGAACGATGGATTCCCAGATGATCGCGGCGATTACAGCCATTCGGAGCCTGCAACGTACATAAATGGCGCTATTGTAGGACCCTTGGCATTCTTTGCAGGGAGCTACAGAAGTTGAATGGAGACCTCATTAATCAGGGGGGCTTATATTAATTGTAGATAACCATCCATTTCTGTTGTTCCCGAAGGGAAACGGGGGGTCTATCTATATGATATATCTCACCACGAAATGGAAGGGATATTTCTGTGTGTTTCTGGTTTCCTAGTTTGATGTGGTATGTAGATGATGGTCGTAGTTGAAAAATTAGATGATGATCTCAGGCTCACAAAGAGGAGCAGCTTGTGAGATCTAATTAAGCTTTTGGATTTTCATGTGCCAGACTCAGTGTCAAAGAGTTTCTCTTCCTTCTCTATATGGTTCCGTTTCTTTTTCTTTCTTTCTATAGTCATAATCTTAGGATCAAACAAATTTTATAATTTTAGAGAGATTATTATTGTAGTTAAAACAAAAAAACATATTGACTTAGTTATCCATAATAAAAGTTATATGGAAAAAAAAAATAACGACATCAGTAGTGAAGCGTGTCACTTTTTAAAATATAACATTGGAAAAAGAGAGACACCTAATTTTAAAAAGCTAGTGCATGTATGTATGCATTGGTCTCTTTGATACTTCTCTTTCTAAGTAATCGGGGGGTTTGTATGTATTTTCTCCTTTCTTAGTTGGATTTGGGAATTAGATGATCTGAACTTCTAAATTCAAGAATTACCATCAAGATGGACAGAGCCATTGGAGCCGAATCCGATACTTTCCGGATAACTCCCCAGAAGTTTGAGAGGAAGAGCGCCGCCGATGGAGAGTGCAATCGACACCAACACAGCTTCAAATTTACCATGATGAATATCATCCTTAACTCTAATCTTCGACTCCTCAGTTCTGCTAATGCTCTGACTACTACTACTCACATGAACCAAAGAATCCGAACTCGAATTCTCATCGTAACTCTCCTGAATCAATTTAATCTCCTCTCCTTCCTTAACAATCGACTGACTTGTTTCATCGCCGCCGTGTGAACTCAAAATATGCTCGCAAAGAGCAGCAGCTTATGAGATCAAAGATTTTGGATTTTCATGTGTCACTGTTTGCAGTACTGCAAAAGGGAAGCACGCAAGAAAAAAAGAAAAGGCAAAACTTGCAACATATTCAATTTAAAGTCCAATGCGCTAGCAAATTAAACTTCCATAGCCATCGTGATACAGGCATCCGCGATACCCCATATCACCAGGGAAACAGAAGAAATGGTTACCAAACGTAAGTTGAGAATCATATTTGGTTGCACTACTTTACTCGTTGAATAGGTGCATGAATGAAAAATATATCATTTCGTACATTTAAGAAATTGGCATGCAACACAATTTAATTGGTACGAAATTGACAAAAGTGTATAAATACACGAATGCTAGGGCATATAAAAATATGGTGCTAGTATACTACGGCTGAAGTGTACAACTGCATGGTAAAGATGCTAGCCGAAAGCACTAGTTATTGTTCACCAAAAACGGTTAATCTGAGCACAAAACCATAGTATAGTATACCATTGTTAGTCGTCAAGTTTTCACTGCCAACAACTGAAAGAAGTAATTGCATCCATTTCTTCTTGCAAAAGAAGGGCATCAATAGTTCAAAAAAAAAAAAAAAAAAAAGAAGCGCATCAATAAATACATCCAGATTCTTTCCCTGCATCACATCGTTTATCGAATGATGTGTGATTCCAACACGGTGATCAGTTACACGTCCTTGAAAACAATTGTATATATGGATGCGTTCAGATCTATCCCCACTACCAATCCGTTCAAGGATATGAGCACCATATCGATCTTGAAAGCAAAGCCAAAACAAATTTTATCAACTAAATTTATCAGATATCACACATACCTGTTGAGATCGGAGTCTTGTTCGATTGGCGTGAAGTCTAGACCTCTCTATCTCATAAAGCTTTGCACACAACACCTTAAGTGTCTTGGCTTTCTTCTACACAACACCATAAACTTGCCCATCTGTGATGTGTGTGCACATGTTGCTCAACTCAGCCGTGGCTTAACCACCTCTCCTCTGAGTCTCTGACTCTCTCAATTTTCAAATTTTTTTTTTTTTAAAACAAAACTATAATTTTCAAAATTAAAATAAAAAAACTCAAACCGAAACGAAACCAAAATCAACTTTGAACCGAATCGAAAAAAAACAAAAAAATTAAACCATACCAAACGGAACCTTGATTTCGGTTTGATATCCGATTTCGGCAAAAAACCAAACCGATTGGAACCGGATGCACCTCTAGTGAGATTCACTAACACGTTGGGTTCAAACCTTAGACTGAGCAACAGGCCCATCACGACATGTCGTTTCATCCGAAGCCCAGATTGTTTTCTGGGGTTTTAGGGTCTTAAACCCTTGGCTTCCTCCTCCTCTTTCTTGTTTGCAAATCTCTCAAGATTCTCAACGTTTCCACCATTGCCTGGTAAACTCTTAATTCTAATTTTACTTTCTGAACTCGATTTCCATTTTTCATTGGATTTCTTCATCTGGGTATATCTACAGACTTCAAATTTTTTATTCTTCGAAGCTAATTGGTGGATTGTTTGATCTGGATGGTTGTGTTCTCTACTGCAATCTGATAATATATTGACAAATGCAATGTCTCGACTTGCAGTATTTGGAATTTTCGTTCGTGTTTGTGATCCGAATGGACAAAATATATATTTTCATTTCTTTAGATTGATCTGATTGTCTGATGTTCAACACTCGATTTTGTAATTTTGTGAATTTCAGAATGTTATCTTTTACTTTGGTTGTGGACTTGTTGTTTAGAAAGGTAATGCGAAACACGCACTGATGGACCCATTAAGTGGGTTCGACTCTATGAATCTAGCTCGGTTTTGCACCAAATCTTCTGTTAGCTCCAAATACTCTATGTATTTTCTTAGAGTCTCTTTCCAAGTCTTTCTAGGTCTTCCGCAACCCCTTTTCCTTGAGCCTCTACCACATTATTGCATCTTCTATCGCATCTTCTAACTGGAGCATATTCACATGTCCACACCACCTAAATTGTTTTTCTCTCATTTGATCTCCAATTGCGGCACTCTTATTTTATCTCAGATATCCTCGTTCTTAATTATGTTCTTTCTCGTGTGCCCACACATCCAACAGAGCATTTTCGTCTCTGCTACGAATGTTTAATAAGAAATGGTACTTAAGGAACACTAAGTAGTCAATCAAGGGGGACTAATCGTGGTGTATATTCGGCTTATTGTTGGTGCAGTGTTTCTATTTTTGATTTGGAGTTTGTAACCGGTTGTATTTGTGCATGTTTTTCAAAGATAATCGGTGCTGATTAACATGGTCACATTATTCTTCCGATCGTGTTAACATGGTATTGTAATATAGATGGCTATTCAGGGTGCTCCAATTTCGAATCCAAGGTATAAGGTCTCTGTTGTATGTCCATTGTTGCAGGGATTTCGATTGCGAAATTGCGTGTAAAGATTGAGGAATGGGAACCGAGGAAAAGGGAAAAGTATTGCAGCAAACCACAGGTCCCCAAGATGCTGCCGGTTTGAGAGGAGCTGTGGAAGCAAAGTACCGGCAAATCAAAGAGCATGCAGAGACCTATCCTTACGTTTGGGCTTCCTACATTGTTGTATACGGTGGTTTTGCTCTCTGGGGTACCTACAGATGGAGAAGGCTTCGCAAGACTGAGGATCGTGTACGTGCCCTTCAGGAGAGATTACGCAAACATTATGCAGCAGAAGAGGCTTGTGCTAGCTCTTCCACCCCAGCTGTTAAGGTTCCAGCGTCTGCTGATAAAATCTCCAACTAGTATGAGCATTGATCAATGCTTTTTAGGTTTCCTTCAACCCGATAAACAATAGTTTGCTTCGAGTATGAACACAGATTGCCTGGGACTTTCTATGGACGAGAATTGAATCCAAATGTGTCGTATACGTAGGTTAGGGTGAAATGTTAGAAATTGATACTTTCGATTAAAACTTACGGAAACAGCTTCTTATGCTAATTTTGTGACACTTGACGGTCATTTTATCCGATGGTGACTTTCCATTTTTCCGAGTCATTGGGGGATTGCATTCATGTCAATACACAAGTCTGCAAAATAATGTATAGTGATCTTCGCAATGATGTGTTATATTTGACAGCAATTTGTTGCAGCGTAGCTCACGGTTCTTGTAATAATATTGTTACTTTATTAAATAATTTTTGTTTCTTAAATGTGAGCTCTACGCTTGCCGCATTAACACTTAACGGTCAATCTCACAGATTGCCTAACGATTGCACGATACTGGTGCAAAAGGAAGAGTTGTCATATGAAATTGAAAATTTTGAAAGATGTATTAACTTTGAAATTGGACGAAAACTTAATAAGACAAAATGTAGTTTATTCTGTAAAATATCTTTTGTCAAATGAAAAGGAAAATAAATAAATTAATCACGTATCCGGTCGCACACGGAATAAGTTATTATTTCTTAGTTTGCCAGTCCCAGGCAATTTGCAAACTTTCAAGACTTTAATAGTTTGCTTGCATTTCTGTTTCAAGAATCTTCATGGAGAACCTGCACCATCAAGTTCAATATAACAGCTAGGTTTCAGTGCTTCATTCCCATACCACCCGTGACTCGACTTGTAAAAACACACATTCAAATTCTTTTGCATATACATAGCACGATAACATGAATCATCGTATGCCATGCTATATTTTAACTGGAAGGTCACCGTGCTTCATGCGACTAACAACTAGGGGTGGGTTGGAAAACCCGATAACCGAAAAAGAACCAAACCGAAATCGAAAAAACCCTAACCCAACAAACACCCCCAAACAAAAACCCTAACCCAACAAACACCCCCAAACAGAAGTAAGAAAACTGAGCCGAACCAAAAATTACTGTTTCGGTTTCGATTTTGGTGATTCAAAAACCAAACCAAACCGAGCCAAACCGAATCAAATTAAATATAACTAAGTTTATTTATTTAATATTTAAGTGTATATATAGCAAGCCCAATTTACATTTAGACCCAAGTTTTAAGCTTTTGTTTTAGGCCGATCATTAACCCATAATCCAAGTCCTTTTTCTTCTCCCAACCCAACCCTCTTCTTTCTTCCATTTTTTTCTCCCCATCTAACCTTCTGCTTTCTTCCTTTTTTTTTTTCTCCCCACCCGACCCTCCCTGCATCTTTTTTTCTCTTTGTTTCTTCTTGCATCTTCTTTCCCTCTCCTTTTTTTTTCTTCCTTTACTTTCTTTGAAATGAAAAATCTGTAAGCAAAGTTGTAGAGCATAGACCAATTTTCAAATTTAAAAAAATAAAATATAAAATAAGTTTTATAAAAAAGACTGAACCGAACACTTAAGTTGAGCCAAAAACAAAAAACAAAATCGAAATTAAACGGAACCTAATAAAAACCGAAAAAAAATGAACAAAACCAAACCGAACCTACCCTTACTGACAACACCTACCTGCCTCGTATTTCCGTTGATCAGATATTGCCCCTCCTACCAAACAGCCAGTGTTTCTCACTAACATTCTATCATTCTTCCGTGATAATCATTTATACGAGAGAAGCATAGCATGTAAACGATACCTATCCCAGTGATAGAAGCGTGCACATGTTATGCACGGGTAAAGGACGTGCTTGTCTACCGTTCTATGTAATCCTCTTCTGATTACGATGGTATGCATGAGCACATTTAGCACACTGATGTGAACATGCATGCTTCGACATCAAAAATCAACAATGCCAGATCAGATTTTACAGCGTCCAGTCACTTGATCAATCTGCAAAGAAGACACGGCAGCCCTATCCATTTCATTCGTAACAACAGTAAAGCTTTTTACTCCAATTCTGTTACGGAGTGGCGCCATGCCACCAGCTAGAGAACCCATGCATATGCACCACATTGAGGGCTCATTTGGTACGTAAGATTGGAATGGAATGAAAAAGCTGCCGACCTCAAGGCACGTAGAGGGGAGAAGTGAAAAAACTATGACCAACTAGAGGGTACAACAAATATACAGCCCATATGAGAAACCGGATCCTTTACTATTAATTCGAATATAAATACTAAGTAAACAACCTAGACGCTTAAGCCCCAAACAAAATACACTCAAAAGCAGCAAAAACACTACCAAAGGATGCTATTTCAACAGGAATTCCCTTCTAGACCTAGATGCTTTGTAACCAATGAAGCATTTCATATATGGAAACTCTGATATCCAAAACCTACAGAAACACTACCATAACAGCATCAAGGAGCTTACAGTTCCTTAATGCTGTTGTGGTAGTGTTTCTGTAGGTTTTGGATGCAGTCACTCAAAAAACTGGAGCACCTTAGCCTCCACATTAGTCCATGTTAACAATCAAAATACAGAGAATGGGAGCAGCAGAAACCTAAACTCAGCTACTCTAGGTCTAACAAACACACTGTAACTACTTTGCAGAGCATAAATCTATGGAAAAGAAAAAATTTCACTGATTGATCAAAGCACAATGAGACATGCCATTGCTTTTGAAAGTCTCAGTGAGTTTTGTAAAGTCAATTGGTCCACAAGTCAGATCATACACCAACCAGCAAACATCTAACAAGCATCATCGCATTCCATAGAGAGAATACACACTACCAATACAACACAATATAGGATCACCGTGTATAGATATTGGGCTTACATGCATGAACATGGAGTGCATATATATGCACAGCAAACCAAATTACTTCTACAAACTCGTTATTTAGAACACAGTGTAACAGTCTCACAATCTAAATGGAACTCCATCAAACTTTGATTAAAATGTCAACAATTATAAACAAGAACTAAGAACAAATATGAAAAAAAAAAAATTTCTAACATTAAGAAGATATTAATGTACAGAGGTTTTGTAGCGGGGTTTTTAACAAATCATCGAATTCCAAAGTTCAGTGTCAGCCTTCTGAAGATAAGCATCGTACTATTAAATAATGAAACTACAACAACTACAGCAAACAGAACCACCACTTCTCAAGTCTAAACATGGGAAGCACAACAAATATACATACCTGAATACACCTATGAATTGGCATAGTGAGCATTGACAAAACAAACTAGCTTACTTCCATTTACCCATTAAATACCCCAACGGAAAAGGTCTGATACCTATTCATCTTCATATTAAATTCTAGTAAGAAGGATAGGAGATTGGGTTGCTCATATCATAGCGGCGTGACCTAGTGCGACTAATGGTATCCAGTGTTGCCCCAATAACTCTTCGACTATAATCGTAATTGTTGCCATTGAAATGTAATCCATACCCATTAGATTGGTTATTTACACCAGGGGGAGTGGGCTCTGAATAAAAAAGAATGTTTCAGCAAGTATGAAATAATCAAAACAGCCGGTAGAAATTCTGACTAAACAAAAAAAAAAAAAAGAAAAAAAAAAAACAGAAACCCAAGGAAATGAAACAAAAGAAGAGAGAAAACACATCACCTGGGGGATAGTCTGAAATTCTGGGTGTCGATAAACCCACGGTATTCGGAGAGTTTTCCATACTGTTAATTGGTACAGGGGCGGACCTCAGTTTGTGAGGAAAATTGTGTGTGGATGTCACCATAGAAGTAGTATTATGCGAGGGCTTGTCTTGCCCAGATATCTGTGAGCCAAAAACCATGTGTCAATGTCAAGAATCTTAATAAGAAGTTAAATATCCAGAGAGAGCGTCACGGTATCCACATGCTATATAACTCTAATTTCACACAACTTATCAAAGCCAACAAGGAATTCAACACAGCAAAAGAAACATCACAGAAGCATTTCAAGGGAGAGAAACAATATACCGCAAACTTGAGTGTCCGATTGTAGAGAGTGACAAGACCAGTGAAGAGCCTAACAGCATAGTCAGCAATCTCCTCAGATTCATATTCTGCAAAAGCAAAACCTTTAGGCTTATCGGTGTCTTTGTCTCGTGGAATGTGCAGGTCCACCACCCTCCCTGCCTGAATGAGAATATCATACAAAACTCTATCACTCACTCGCTCGTCCAAATTACCTGTTAAAATAAAACTCATCTAATCATGCATATCACCATCAAACTTAAACAAAATAAAAGCAGAGGGGTACACCAATTATTCTGAAAAATTAATTCCTCATCAAATATAAAACAAAACAATTCCCTGCAAGATTCATTCAGCCAAAAAAATCCTTTCAAACTAAATTCTAAATTTGGGAAATTTTCAGTGACGCCCAAAACCACAATTTTAACCACACTGTTTTTAAATTTGTTTAGGGACTTTGAGCTACGAACAATTTTCCTTGAATTGAATAAATCAGAAGCAAATATTGTGCGACGAATTAGAAAGAACGGATGGATGACAGACCTATGTAAACGCTGGATTTTGAGTGGGTGGACATGGTGGATTTGACTTCCGCAGATCGGAGGAGGAACCCTAGCTCGAACGACGCAGTAAAGACGCAGTAAAGCCGCAGACAAAAACGACCTTCTGCTTCTTCGTTTGAAGAGACTCTGCTTTATATAGTCAACTACACTGAAATCTGAGATTACCGACTCAGATTTGGCGTCGGATTTCTGATTGCAAATTTGCAACCGTTGAATTTCCAGTCTGTAATACTCAATGACACGTCGTCTTCTCCTTCCTCCCCCGGGAAAGGAAAAGACACGGTTGGGCCAAGCAATTTTCTCTCGGTACATATAAGGGCCCAAGGCCCAACAAAAGCAAATTAATACAATGCAATGTTACGTACCATTTAATGATACGAGTGTTTTAACCGTTAAATCTAATTCAAAAAATTGTTAAATCTTTTATTTTTAAACACAAAAACTGTTTATTTTTTGAATCATTTGAAATACAATGCAGAGTCGTCACACAAACAACGGTTAGCAATCAAGAAACACTCAAAATGTCAGAACAAACCAACAAAGCAAAGCATTTTGAAAACGAACTAATTGTTTCTTCTTTATTTTGTCACATCCTCTAATTGGTAAGGCAGCTTCAAATTTAAATTCAACTTCAAACTCTTCTTCCATGCCAATGTTCGCATCAACGACTTACATCATCACCTAGTATTTTTGTGGGTGCAAGTAGCAAAAGGGTATACCAGAGAAGCTATTGCAGCAGCAGCCGAAAATACAACACTAGTTGATCTAATCAGAAAGTTAAGAGGCGCATTTTCCCTTTGTCAGTTTGTCCTATTGGCTTGAGATGAGTAAGCCTTGTGAAGCTTAATTGGTGTCTGGCCGGTAATATATTGTTCGATTACCATCTTCTGCTTCTTCACCATGACGCTGGTACTCTGCGGATAATCGGGAGTTTGACAAGTAAGAAATGAAAATATGGTGAAGACATAAAGAAAAAGTACATGTGGTAAAGTGAAACAAAAAAGAGTAAGCTTTCAGCTTGTTAGAGTATGAGCATGAGATTAGGTGTTATTAGAGGTCGGCTGTTTCAGTCCATTGTGAATAAGAGTCTTATTAGAAGAGGAACGCTAATCCTTAGTGGTGAAGGATTATTTTTAAACATTAGCTGAAATATTACAGGAAACATATTCACTTTCCGGATTCTAATAGAATATCTGTATTGGTTTTGACAATGATTCTGACAGGGAGGAGAAGAACTACTGTGTTTCTTCATTAATCTACTTGAAAAACCAGCCCAACTTTTACTTACTTCCAACCCTTGCTTCATCTCCAAGTCAAAGGCCATTTACTATAAATAAAACCATCCTCGCCAAAACTCTCCCTCCAGCCCCGGCCCCGCCACTCACCACTTACCGGCACCACAATGTCGTCGCCTGTTGAAATCCTTGTATTAATTATTCATTCCCTCCATGTGCTGATGCTCCACATGCACACTGCCATCATTCCATCTGTAGTCATCGTTTCCTTAAAGAGAGGACATTAACTTCTGGAAAGGAAGATTGCATGTGGCTGCTGAGCTGTTGCTCCTGGACAGCAGAGAGAAGATTTAATATTGCTGCATATGTGCTGTTGCTGCATGTGGCATCGGTGTAAAGCTTTTCTCCTCATATAGTATAGGTGTAAAGTTTTGATATTATTATGTATAAGTATTGTAATGAATGATAGTTCAAATCAGTTGAAAAGCAACTCTTTCTACATACATACACTTCGCCATTTTACATGGTATCAGAGCACCTTCCTGGTGCCTGAAACACTTCCGCTAGATCTCGTTGTTCATCATGAGCGACGAAGAAACTTCTAAACACAAACCACAACTCACAACAACAATGGACATCACTGATCCATTCTACATTCATCACTCGGATCACCCGAGTCTACACCTCGTTTCCAAACCATTGGATGGTGACAATTATTCCACATGGAGTCGTGCGATGACAATCAGCCTCAGCGCCAAGAACAAGCTCGGGTTTGTGGATGGTTCGATAGAAGCCCCGCCAAAAACCGACGCCAAATATTTCCTTTGGAAACGGTGCAATGATACGGTCCTCTCATGGGTCGTTAGTTCTGTTGGTAATGATTTGATGAGCAGCGTCCTATACACGGATTCACCCTCTGAGATATGGGAGGATTTGAAGGAACGTTTCTCGCAAGGAAATGTTTCTCGCATTTTTCAAATTAAAAGAGAGATCATTGAACATCGACAGCGTCAACAATCCATATCGGCATACTATACCAAACTCAAGGGACTTTGGGATGAACTAGCGTCCTACAATACCATTCCAGCCTGCACATGTGGAACGATGAAAGCGATCAATGAAAGAGAACAACAGGAACAGGTTATTCAATTTCTCATGGGATTGAATGACTCTTATTCGGCTGTTCGTGGGCAAATCCTCTTAATGCAGCCACTACCAAACATTCGTAAGGTATATTCTTTGACTTTACAAGAAGAAAAACAAAGAGAGGTGGCAGAAGGTGGTGAAAGTAACAATACACATGCCATGCACGTATCCAAGACCACCTGGAATAAACAGCCTCGCAAGCCGAACAATGGTGGCAAGGCAAACACTGGTAAGGACTTTCATTGTACTTACTGCGATGGAACTACTCATACAGTTGATTACTGTTTTTACCTTCACGGATTCCCTCCTGGTCACAAATTTCACGGGAAGGACGTAAAGCCTCCCAACAAAGCCAGGCGCGCAGCAGCCAATTATGCCCACAACGAAGAGGCCAAGTCAAGCACTACCAAAGAACCTGTTGGTTTGAAATTCACAATGGATGAGATCAACCAAATCAAGGCTATTCTTCGTGGTGATGGTAAAAGTCAGATTTTTGCAAATGCAGCAGGTACACCTAATACACGTTGCTATTCTTTTTCCACAAACAGTCCAGAATCTTGGATCATTGACAGTGGGGCTACAGATCACATCTCTTCTTCTTTTAATTTACACGACAAAAGGAGACCACATTCTTCCTCTGTCAATCTGCCAAATGGGTCACAAGCACCAATTTCTTGTCTTGGTTCAATCAAACTCACTCCAAATTTAAACCTAAAAGATGTCCCTTGTGTTCCTGGTTTTCGAGTTAACCTGATGTCAGTTAGCAAAATTACTCGGGGATTAAATTGTTTGATCATTTTCTTCCCTACTTTTTGTCTCTTACAGGATTTGGCAACGAAGAAGATGATTGGATTGGGGAAGGAGCGTGATGGCCTGTATTATCTAGTCCCAGTCACAAAAGAATTCGTTTTTCGACAGAATAAGCCTGGGGTCATTGCTGCTTCTACATCCGCATCATCCAATGTCTGGCACCAACGCCTTGGACACCTTTCCACTGGTCCAGCCCGTGTCTTATCTAGTTCCATTCCTGATATTTCTTTTGATTTTGATTCTCATTGTGATGTCTGTCCAGTAGCCAAACAAACAAGGTTACCTTTTCCCTTAAGTTCTACTTCTAGTCTACAACCCTTCGAATTAATACATTGTGATATTTGGGGTCCGCATCGTTTGCCATCTTCATCAGGTGCTAAATACTTCTTAACCATAGTTGATGATTACTCCCGATTTACTTGGCTTTTTCTCATAAATTTAAAATCTGAAACACAAGAGAAAATCAAACTGTTTTTTTCTTATGTCAACACTCAATTTCAGCGTCAAGTTAAACAAGTACGCACTGATAATGGCACAGAATTCATATCCATGCGTTCATTTTTTGACAACTCAGGCACTGTTTTTCAACATACTTGCCCACACACACCTCAACAAAATGGGGTGGTGGAGCGTAAACATCGACACCTCCTTAATGTAGGTCGCGCACTTCGTTTTCAAGCAAATCTTCCCCTCAAATTTTGGGGAGAAAGTCTTCTCACTGCCACTTATCTTATCAATCGCACACCAAGCATTGTTTTATCAAAGAAAACACCTTATGAAATGCTCCACACACGCCCCCCCACTTATATGCACTTACGGGTCTTTGGGTGTCTTTGTTATGCTACACACACCTCTCCTAAACACAAGTTTGATGCTAGGGCTCACAAGTGTCTCTTTGTTGGTTACCCTTCTGGACAAAAGGGATATCGTCTCTACAATCTTCACACTCATCAATTTTTTACTAGTCGTGATGTGGTTTTTCATGAACACATCTTCCCTTTTGCCCATCATCCTCCCGACACCCAACCTGATGAATTTGTGCCTGTCATTCCTCTTCCCCTCACCGATGCCATATCAGATTCTACCACCTTTCCACAAGAACCCTCATCTCCTATCGTCTCTAGTCCGCACACTTCTCCTCCTTCACCTTCCACAACTGTCTTGCCTACCTCACCACCTGTGTCGCCCCCATCTTCTCTTACTTCTCCCCGTCCTGTCAACCCTATCCCACCACCTGCCCTTGGTCGTGGCCTCCGCCCCAAGCAACCTTCTGTCTTATTAAGGGATTATGACTGTTCACAGGTCACCATGGCGCCTTCCACGTCCACTTCTTCTTCGCGGTCAGGTACTCGCTATCCCCTCTCTCATTATCTCTCACCTTCGCATTTATCACCAACTCATCAAGTGTTTATCAATAATATCACTCGTAGCATCGAACCTACTTCTTTTTCTCAGGCCAACCTTGATCCTAATTGGCAAGCTGCCATGCAGTCTGAACTTGCTGCACTTGAACTGAACCATACTTGGACACTCACTTCCCTGCCTCCTGGAAAACGTGCTATCGGCAGCAAGTGGGTTTACAAGATCAAACATCGCTCTGATGGCTCCATCGAGCGCTATAAAGCGCGTTTGGTTGCTAAAGGTTACACACAAATTGAAGGCCTGGACTATTCTGAAACATTTGCACCCGTGGCCAAACTTACCACTGTTCGTTGTTTATTGGCCGTGGCTGCTCAACGCCAATGGCCTCTCCATCAGCTCGATGTCCAGAATGCTTTTCTCCATGGTGATTTGGACGAAGAAGTTTTCATGTCTCCACCTCCTGGACTTCGTCGACAGGGGGAGAACTTGGTTTGTCGACTCCATAAATCCCTCTATGGCTTGAAGCAGGCTTCCCGTCAATGGTTTTCAAAGTTTTCTCAAGCTATTCAACTCGTGGGATTCAAACAATCAACTGCAGACTATTCATTGTTCACCTGCACTACTGTGCATTCCATTACAGTGGTTCTTATCTATGTTGATGACATGATCATTACAGGGAACAACCATGAGGCCATTCAACGCTTAAAACAATTTCTTCATCATCAGTTTCGTATTAAGGAGCTCGGACCTCTCAAATATTTTCTTGGGATTGAAGTGGCTCGTTCACAGCAAGGCATTTCTATCTCACAAAGGAAATATGTTTTGGACATACTAGACGATGTTGGACTATTAGGGGCATGTCCAGTGGATTTTCCCATGGAACAAGACTTGAAGTTAAGGCCAACGGATGGTGAATTATTAAAGGATCCAACCAGATATAGAAGGATCGTGGGACGACTCATTTACCTCACCATAACGAGGCCAGATATCACATTTTCTGTCCAAAATCTTAGCCAGTTCATGAACCAACCACGCAAGCCTCATCTTGAAGCTGCTATGCGAGTCTTGAAATATCTCAAAGGGACTCCAGGACAAGGTCTATTTTTTCCATCTACAGATGCTTTACAATTGAGTGGTTACTGTGATGCTTCATGGGCATCATGTCTAACGACTAGAAGGTCTGTGACAGGTTATTGTGTGTTTTTGGGGAAATCACTTATCTCCTGGAAGACTAAAAAGCAACATACGGTTTCACGATCGTCTGCGGAGGCAGAATATAGATCAATGGCTGCAATCACTTGTGAACTTACGTGGCTTCGTTATCTGTTACAAGATCTGCAGGTCTCCCATGCAGCTCCAGCTCATGTTTACTGTGACAATAAGGCAGCGCTACACATTGCAGCTAATCCGGTTTTCCACGAGCGAACTAAACATATCGAATTAGATTGCCACTTGGTCCGAGAAAAGTTACATTCAGGAATGATTGCAACAAGGTTTACACCTTCAAAACATCAGTTGGCCGACATATTTACAAAAGCACTAGGAAAGGCATCGTTCCATTCTCTTCTCAGCAAGTTGGGCATTCAAAACATTCATGCTCCAACTTGAGGGGGAGTGTTGAAATCCTTGTATTAATTATTCATTCCCTCCATGTGCTGATGCTCCACATGCACACTGCCATCATTCCATCTGTAGTCATCGTTTCCTTAAAGAGAGGACATTAACTTCTGGAAAGGAAGATTGCATGTGGCTGCTGAGCTGTTGCTCCTGGACAGCAGAGAGAAGATTTAATATTGCTGCATATGTGCTGTTGCTGCATGTGGCATCGGTGTAAAGCTTTTCTCCTCATATAGTATAGGTGTAAAGTTTTGATATTATTATGTATAAGTATTGTAATGAATGATAGTTCAAATCAGTTGAAAAGCAACTCTTTCTACATACATACACTTCGCCATTTTACATCGCCCGACCTCATCTCCCTAGTCTCCCGAGGAACATTAAACAGAGCCGTCGTCTTTCAGACCACTAAAACGGAGCATTGCGGTTTTGTTTTATTTTATTCTTAATTTAATTTCTTTTGGTTTGTTTGGATGTGAAGCTGAATTAATTTTGTGAAGGGTATGTTTCGCGAATTGGATAGGATTTTGGGATTGCGGGGTGATGAATGGTAGGACCTTTTCGTAGTGCGCCCTGACTTGAAAGATTATTCCATTGCATTTTTGAGGTCTTTGAAAGATTATTCCATTGCATTTTTGAGGTCTTTGACAGAGCCACAATCCGTCTCAAGTTACTTTATAGAGCCATATTCTGTTGAGTTGGTCAGAAAAATCGTTAACTTGGTTAATTTTACCATATGTGTAGGTTCCTTTCGTTCTTGTTGAAAGTGGTGGCGGAAAGCCGAGTTCGGGTTCTGTTGTTGTGAATGTGGATGGATCAACCCATCCCTTCCCTTACCTCTCACTGCAGTTTATCAACATTTGTATCCTGTCATTGCTTCCCCCTACTCATCCCTACTGGCACTTTTTGGCAATCAATACCCAGTGAGTACTATTTCATCTCTTAACTTGTCATTTTTATTCGAAATGTGGGATAATAATGACGCATTTTGTTTGCGGTTTTGAAGGGTGGTGTGCTCGACCAAGACAAGATTCTTCCCTTGAGAAAGGAAATTACTGCTGTTGGTCTCTGCAGTCTCAAAAATGGAGTGCCGGAAATCGAGTCTTGCAAGGATCTTCCCTATTTTCTGTAAGTTGGGTTTGTTCTCGAGTCAGCTTGCTTGAATCTTTCCTATTACAGCTGCATATTCTTAACTGATGTTGGTATCTTTTTCAGGTTCGAGATGTCCAAAGATGAGATGGTTGCAGATCTTACACCACAAACAAACACACTATTCTGAACTGGGGTTTTGCTTGGTACAATTTCATTTGGAGTCCTCGGCTGTATGCTTTTTCCAGGTACAATATGAATTTGACTTCAAATGTTAAAGTGTTGTACTCCATTCTGATTGTGATTCCCGACCGCGATAGGAGATGTGCTTCAATAAATTGATTTGCAATTACTGTTTCAGGAACTCGAATAAGTGCAAAGTGTGGAGGCTACAGAGGCAGTTACAGCAATCAATCCATGGCGCTGACAGCAATGCCGAAACTCAAATTCAACAAGAGGAGGATTCTGGAAAGTTGACGAGGAGACGGGATCAGCATTTATTCCTTGAGGGCACCTCGTTTGTTGCCGGCCATGTAGCATATCAATCGGCACAAAATCCTCATTTCAGTGGGAATATGAGTCTTAGGCTCTTAGCCATCAGTAATTTGGTAGTGTTAGGAAAACGTATGCATAGAAACATAATAAGTTCCATGATTCAGTGATTGTACACATATTGGAAATCAAAAGGAGAACAAACGAAGATTACTCCTCTTCCCTCACTCACTCTACACACACACAAAAGACAGGCAAACCGAATATTCTTGATCTCTCTATCAGAGAGAAAGCAGAAGAATCTTATGAGTTTTTTCTATGCAATTGAAGAGTTGATCGTGGCGAGTCATGGAGACAAGCTGCGGCACCATCAAGGTGAACAAGTTACAACTTGTATAACGGTGGTTAAGAAGTCAATGGTGGAGGGGAGTGCAAGTTGTTTGAAAGTGATCCAATAAGTGCTTTCATTCCAATTCCAATATAATGGGCCTAATCTGCACAAGTTAGCAAGTTTATGCTGACTGAAATTTGATGTCAACGATTTTTGGCAGTACTCTTGCATCTTGATTTAAAAAGTTCAAGCAGACCACCAGTTGATGCACTTATTTAGGCCTTCAAGAACAGAACAATCTAGAAAACAAGTAGCCATGACATCCCTGCACGATATCAAGCAAAGCAACAGTTTGGCATGCTTCCCCAACAGGACGGTCCTTCCATTGATTCAGTATAGCTTCGGCAACTGGACCAATCTGATGCTGCAGTACCGCCGCACCAAGGGGTCCTACCAAATTGAGCCTCGTCGCCGCAGAAATAACATCTCTCATTGTAATGAACATGTAAGCCCTTTGAGAAGTAGTGCTATCCAACCCAAGCAGTCCGCATATAACCCCAAACAGAGGAGCATGGTGAAAAGAAACAACACCAGTACTCAAACAAGCTTCCCTCATAGATTTAAGAGACGGTATTTCCGAATACACAGATGCAGCCACCCTCATCAGTGCCGACCCTTGTGCAATTGATGCCTTTCTACTCACTTCATTAGTCAGCATTGCATCCAAGATTTTGTCGAGTCTACGCCTGGTCTCTGAATCAGGTGATACTGTTGCAGAATACACAAAAGGAAGCAGTAAGCTTCCAGTATTCTCCAACAGATGTATTATGAAAGTTTGGAGATCTTCAGGACCGGAGACTATGCGAGCTTGGATTGCAGCCTCAAGACCAAAAGAATGAGCAAAACCGCCAGTTGGGAGAATTGAATCGAGCAGTTGCCATTGGCTCCACTGTAAGGAGGAGTCCGATGAAGCACGTTTTTTGGTTTCTCTGTCTACGTCCATAGGATCTGTTGGGAGGTCAGAATCAAGCAGTGACCATTGATTCTGCTGTAAAAGAGAGCCTGATGAAGCACGTTTCTTGCTTTCTTTGTTTCCGTCTATCTGATTCTGATCCTCCATTTCGAAAAGATGAAACCACTCTGCTTAGGGTTAGAAGAAAACACCAAATAATTAAATCAAAACAATAGCACTGTTTATTTTCTTCTTCTATTTATCAATTGACATCACTTGGTACAATAAGGTTTATGCGTGTGGGGATGCTCATGATGAATGACAAATCTACGACGACTAAATTGAAAAACTTAAAACACACATAATCATAAATGTCTTATGCTTTTTCATCATCTGCTCAAACACATAAGAAATGAATTTCAGTAGCATTACGGCCTCGTTATTACTTTTTCATGGTTCAGAATCTACTCTAATTTACTGAGGGAGGGAGCATCGAACTCGGAACCTCGAGTTCATGCTCACAAACAAATGATCTACAATCCCTTCAGGGCCTTTAGTGTTCAGAATCTACTCTGTACTAGATGGTAACTGTTGCAATACATACAAGATTATCTGACAAAGGCAATGCTCTTAAACTTGAGGTAAATTAATAATTTAAATAAAATTGAAATACATACGTACACACACGTTGCCTCCCGATTCAGGAATCCCTCAATTTATCATCACTCTATCCCAATTCGGCAGCGGTCTGGAATTCAGGAGATAAAATTAGGAGCTTGCCCCCTATTCAAACCATATGGAAAAAACATAAGAAGAATAAGAAGAAGAAGAAGAAAAAGGAGGAGTTTTGACCTCTTTCTGAGAAGCCATTTTGGTTCCTCTATCTGATCAAAGTCTTAGGGGGGCGACTTCGGTATTGAGAATTGAGATAGAGTTGGAAACAAAATCGACCAACCGGCCGAACTGACCCCAACCTAAATAATTAAAAAATTAGAGCTTGCCCCCTATTTTGGAAGGACTTTCAACTTTCTCTAGAGCAAAACATGATCAAATTGATGAATGTTGGAGTAATTCTAGTTGGAGGACGTTCGTGAGTTACTTGGCTTGATCATGTCAAAATTTGGAATTTTTCTACCAATGTGATTTTCTGACAATAGAATAAAGGTGCAGTGCGTGATGCTAGAAAAGTGACGTTTTGGGCTTGAATTGTTTTTTTGGAGCCCAAAATGACATCTGATGGGTTCATGGCCTTCTAGAGATATGTTTAAAACGTTCCAATCTTTGAAATGAGCTATTATGGGCCGGGTTTGGATGATATTTTAGGTTAAATGTGGCTGGACAATTACCTGGCAGATTCTTCTAGTTTAATTAGGAATTTATTTTCTAAGATATTTTATTATTATTTGGTTTCCTAGTTGGAACAAAAGACTAATTTTTAGGGATTGTGCGATGGTTTGGATGGGATTTAAGGTTTTGGCTGGCCCTAGTTTTTCTACCTTCTCTTTTATGCGACTTTGAAGATAGATAAATTGGCTAGGGTTCTTGAAGATTTTCAGAGTTTTACTTTAAGGTGTTTTCATTCTTGTTTTTTCATAATAATATTTTATATTATTTTAATTATGAATATGCGTAGCTAATCCATTTTGCTAGGGTGAAATATTGAGCCTTAGCATGAATATGTAATTTTTATTTAATTGTTTATGATTGATTGCATGCATGCTTTGAATTATTGATCACCGTTTTAAATTATCTAATTGTCTTAATGCTTGATCATCATTAGGATCTTTATAAAAGTAAATTGATGCAATTTTGGTCAGAAAATTCCTTGAAATTGACGCTGGCTTCTTGTGGTTAATAATTGTAATTTTACTTAAGATGAACACCACGTCTTAAGGATTGCATGATTTTTCAAAGGATTTTCATAAAACAGAACGAGTCTCTCATGTTCATATTTGATCCGAATGTCCTGACGGATTGCATGTTAGATATACGTTATATGTTGGAGGTTCCAAGTATAATATATATTAGGAAAACCTAACCTTCAAATTGGCATGTGTAGATCATAAGTAATTGGTAAAAATATATAGGATTGCTAGGTGATGGTGGAACCCTAGTGCTTTTATAAATTGGTATTTAAAACTCTTTTCTTTCATGGTATTAGTTTTGGGAAAATTTAATATTTGTTTTCAATTAAAATTCGTTTTTAATATTACCCAAATTCAAAAACTCATTTCTCAATTTTCAGTTTTAAGTAGTTAATTAGGAATTGTTTTTAAGTAAATTATTAAAATAGTCATTGTGGAAAATGACCTTGCATGAGCATCTATACTACAATATCCTTGTACTCATGCAAGTATTTTATGTAATTTTAACCCTATTTGTGTAGACAGTAAAAATCCTATTAGTACATCATTAACATATTCATAAATACACACAATCTATGCTTCAAAAATACCCTGCAAACATAAAGTGGATAAATATGAGGACCTTCCATTATGTTTCACTGTGAAAGTCCTCGTATTTAGCTCGGAACCTTGGGTTTCATCAAATATGTCGTAGTATTTCATTAACTCGACAGTCATCGAGTTGATTAACATACCATTCACTTTGCAAATAGTTAGTTAGTCGAGTTGTTTATACCCAAGTTTGCTACAAGTAGCAATTCAGATCTCCATGAGGTGAGAAATAAGGTTATAATTGGTCTCATTCCAGACATCGCCAACGAGCAGAGCATTTTTATTGTTTTAAGCAAATATAAAATGTATTAAGTATGTAAAGTTTATTCAACAATTTGTAAGATGTTAATATAATAAGTTTAAAAAAACTTTCTATGTTTCAAAAATATTTTTAAATGAATCATACAATCGCGGATATAATTTATACGCCACTCACTCTCATCGACCCCGACTATGAAGACTGTCACGAGCAAAGATAATGCAAAATAACGTGGACATCCATTGAAACGTGGCAAGCAATACGAAGGAAGCTCAAATTTAAAATGAGTCGAAACATTTTCAGTGCAATAAAGCTGAGATCACTAATTTACAAGTAGGTAGTCATGACAAATGAACTCCTCGTGACATGTCGGCACTTGTTTTATTTTATTTTCCAATCAAACGTCGGCACTTGCAACCAAAAAAAAAAAAAAACCAACTAACACGGCAGTAGTTTAGTTTCGTTGAGACTTGAGACTTAGGAGTGAAGGCAGGAGGGCCAGCTCATGTTGTCAATGCAGCATACGTGTAAGAAAAGTACTGGCTCTGCCACGTGCCACGTACTAACTAGATTTTGGCGTTGGCAATGACCTGTGCGGTTACAGCTCACCAATTAATTTGACATTTGGAACCATGTAATTGGAAAGTAATCTGCAATTCATAAAGCACGAATCCAATCATTTTAACTAGCATGGAAGCTTTTCAATTAGTTTATTATCTTTAAGGAAGGTTGGTTTTTCTATTTCTATATTTATAAAATACCAAAAAAACGTCTAATTCATATCTTTTGAGAAAATGATTCACTAACATTTTTCTTTTGTATACATTTTCTTTTAATTACATCCGTCATTTTCAAGTAATTTATTTATTTGATGATCATTTTTTGTTACAGAAAAAACGAATTCCAATTGTTGAATTTTGAGCTTATCGTTATAGATGCAAAAACAAAATCTAGCTTAACAAAAAATAAAAAAAAAAGAAGGAAAATGTAGAAATGGTAACTTTATAATTAAAATCCTTTGGGGCTATTAGTGGAGTTACTAAACATATAATTAATATCTCTTTGTCAGTTTTATATATTATATCCCCACTAATACAAATACAAATACAAATAGTATCCTCCTGCCCAATGTGGCATTGAAAGTCTGCAATTTTTTTCATACGGTGCAGAAACAGAATTGGTAGTAGTACGGGTGAAGGCTCCATTTAATTACAAAAAGCGGTAACTCAACAATTCCTTCTCATTCTTTTTTATTCATTTTTCTGTTCTTTTCTCTATGTTTTGCTTTTGGTTCACCGTCGTAAATTTGTAAGAGAAAATAACATGTTTCTTTTTTGTTATTTTATTTTTATGATGACTTACAATAAAAATAGGGATTGAAACCTCTAGATTTCGAGAAATTTTTAATTGCGAAATGAATACAGATGATACAACACGTATTTTTATGTAAATGATGAAAAATTTTACTTTTTAAGTTATTAACTTTTAAACACACATATCTCCATATTTATATAATAATACATGATGTATCACCTCATGTAATGATCATACTGAAAAATCTCTCGTAGATTTCCTCATCTCAAGTCCTCAAAATTCCCACAAATCCCAAATAGTTGCTGTTTGGACACAGGGACGCAACTTCCCTCTACTTCTCTTCTCCAAGTTCAGAAAACCAACCCAAAATCTCAACATCCCATCCGAACTTACTTTTAAGCTTAATATATATATATATATATATGCATTTTTAGAAACCAACGATATTACCTACATTAAGAGAGAAGATGGACTTAACCTTATAATGAGTTAGTAATAATGCGATTCAAATTCACCTTTGACAAGAATCGAATCTAAGATCTCTAACTTATAAATGAAGAAAATATTAGTAGTACTAAGTAACTATGTGCCTCATTTTATCCAAAAAAAAAAAAAATTGTTATATGCCTCATTACTCCCTGCAAAACAAATCACAATTTACCAAAAAAAAATAAAGGGTTATATTAATGAGTTATATATGAATATGTGTTAAACTGTAATTTAAAAATAAGTAGTTGAGAAGTTTTTTTAATGTGAGTCATACTGTCATATGATATTATCAATTTATTATGTTATAAAACATAATATTGTAACTTATTATTAATATGATGCACTCATATTATAACGTTTAGATTTGTAATTGTGTGATGATTTCAACGTATCATTCAAAAAATTGGTAGAAAAACAAACTAAAAAATTAGAGGGGGAGAAGGACAGTTCGATTTCAAACAACATAGAAAATCCAAGAGACAGCTGTTTAGAGAGAGAAAGACGAGAGAGAGAGAGGGTAAAACTTAAAAATTGTTTTACGAAGAAGCAACTATTCGGCCAAATCAAATCGAAAGCAAAACAGTTACGAGAGGAAGAGACAGACAACGCGCACAGTGATATGAGGACGATGAAGTATATAAAAAGGGTGACGACGTTTAACGTTCCTCAACGCAAAGGCAAAAGCGCTGACGACAATCTCCTGAAACTACGCCGTATCAACGCTCTGTTTGCGCTCTTCTGCTTCTTGCACGATGACTTGGAACTTCAATTCCTGACTTGCTTTCGCTAATCTCCAAAATTCCCCCACTTTCCCTCATTTTGTGTTTTGTTTTCTTGTTAATTTTGTTGATCATCTCGATACGATTGCCGACTGCTTCCACCAACCCAGAAGGTCTGCATCTGCATGTGATTCTCTAGTTCTTTCTTGCTTTTTATTTGTATATTTATAATATTTTCTTGAATAAATTTGAATTTGGATCCGATCTTTGGTTACCTACCCAATTGAAGCTGGAATTATTGGACTAAGATCTGCATACATGTATCTAAATGTGTGTGTATGCATTTTGGATTTTTCTTTTTCAAGGAATTACTTGGTCGCATAAATAATTGGATTTTTATTAATTATAAAAAGAAAGAATTTTTTTTTTTGAAATTTGATGGGCAGAACCAGGCTGGCATCCATGGAAAAGCGTTTGCTTTGGCCTGCCCTTTAATTTAGCTAAATGGGTTTTGTCAGTTTTACTCATTTCTCCAGCAGCTTTTGTAAAACAGAGCCTTGGTGGCACACTGTTTCCTTTAGGATTAAAAGGGAGTTTTGCTTGGCTGCTAAGGTGAATTTTTCTCTTTTGGAGATTACCCTTTTCCATTCTCTCAACTGGGTGTGACTTGTATCATTTTTTTCTCTCTGTTTTTATTGGAATTTTACCATTTAAGATTTTATCTTAACTGTGAAGGCATTTATCTTCGTTTTCAATCTAAACACCATTTGCATTCTAAGTATTTTCAATTCGCTAGAAAATGTAGAAACATGTAGCTGAATCTGCAAGTTATTGTTTTGTGATTGCTTCATTGACTTAAAATCCATTTAAAGCATCGTAACCTATTCTTTGTTTCCTCTTGTGGTGAAATGTATGTTCTTTCATTTCCTTGTTACTTTGGAGAGTAGAAGATTAATCAAATTTTGTTTTTCTTTTATGCAGGGTGTACTCTTATCTCTGGCTTTTTATGCGATGCAGAGATCACGTAGAGCTCTTCTGAACAGAAGAGCTTTAGGGATCAGTGGAAGGAGCCGCTTGTATAAGGTGTCTCTGTCTTTAGTTTTCGTCCTCTGGGGGCTTGTCTTCCTTTTCAGCTTATGGTTCAGTCGTGGACATGGATACAAAGGTAACCTCTTTACTGAATATTATAAGGTTCCTCTGTAGGCTCCCCTTAGAACCTGTTACGGAGTGTTTGAAATGATTTCTCGAGTGCTAATGTGTTGGATCAACATTTTTTGTTGGGTTGCAATACCTCTTCTGATGCTCGGAATAATTCAGAATCTATGGCCTCACTTAATCTTGTTTACCTGAAAATTAGCTCGTTGTTACAGAACATATCAATCTTTCTTTTCTATTTTCCTTTGTTTGGGTCAACGATTCAGCATAGTAATTTATATGTTGTGGTGTTGTGTGCTACATTCTGCTTCTGTTGTTCAATTGGTTAGCTATGATCTTGGTTGTGATTGACTGAGAATACTGTTTCAGTTTCTGGTGTTTCTTTGCTTAAAATTTTAAGGCACGTCTTGAAAAAAGCCGTTGAAAAAACTGATTTTTGTTGAATATAGTGTGCAAATACAGTGTTGCTTAGGAACTCTTTAATAGACTCCGTCAACTTAGTAGAGGTTCTATGGGTTCAAAATTATGTGCAGAAGTGGTATGTTGTTAATTGCCAAATGATAGATCTCCGTAATAGTTTTGCATTTGGGAAAGAGTGAGGAAGAATGGGTTTAAAAATAAAATGTCTTTATGTTGCACAAGGTTGGAACTTTCAATTTTTCCAAATATCAGTTGCAAGTCTCTTTTTGTTCTGATCAAATAGGTAATACACATGGTTATTTTAATCAAAGGTATTGTCACCAAGCTCGTTTGCTCTTCCATAAAGACAAAGAAGTCTTGGGTTTGAAACCCCATTTCCCCTTAACATCAGTATTTTTGCGCTAAAGGAAATGTTGTGGAAGGTTTCTGCAGATTGCAATTGCATGAATATTCCTGAGATTAAGATGGCTTGCAGTGTTAGCAAGCTTTGAAATATTCTTAGCGACATTTTAGCTGAAAATCTCTCTGATAAAATCATAAATGGACTATCTTTTACCTCCCTTTGTGAACAAGTGAGTTCATTGAAGAATTATTGCCTGCAGTTTTTTTTTAATTTAAGACACAGCTGAATGCCATGTTGATTTTATAGAGACAAAACCAGAACATTATTTTGTGTCATTGGCAGTGCTATAGATTAAAATAAGAGAGTGATTCTTATGGCCTTGTATTGATCTTACTTCTTTTTGTTTTTATTTGTACTTTTGATATTATATATGGTCATGCATGCTTATGAGTTTTTTTTTCCCTATTTTTCTGTTTATGTAGATGGATCCACTGTATCCCCAGTTGGTATATCAACTTGGGACGAAGCTAAGCTGGATCATGATGAACACTATGGTATACAAAAAGAAACTGATTTGGGCTACTCTTCTGGAGGTGAGTGCACAAATGGGGTTGAAACTGGTGGTTTAAATGGTGAGTTCTTTGCAATTGAAGGAAGTAAACAGCATGCCTCCGCTGAAGGAAGTAGACAGCAAGATTTAGCTGAAGGAAGTATCTTTCATGACTCAGCTGTGGATGAGCAACCTGAGGTGGTGACCGCTGGTTCAGGTGTAAAACTTGAAAATGATGCTCCAAAGAATGGTCGGTTGCCTCGTGCTGTGCCTCTTGGTCTTGATGAATTCAAGAGCAAAACATTTAGTTCCAAAAGTAAATCTGGAAATGGTCAGGCTGGAGGCATAAAACATAGAGTGGAGCCTGGTGGTGCAGAGTACAATTATGCATCAGCTGCAAAGGGAGCCAAGGTCTTGGCTTTCAACAAGGAAGCTAAGGGTGCCTCTAATATCTTAGGCAAAGACAAAGACAAGTACCTTCGCAATCCATGTTCTGCAGAAGAAAAGTTTGTCGATATAGAGCTTTCTGAAGAAACCTTGGTAGATACAATTGAAATAGCTAATCTTGAGCACTATTCGTCTAATTTAAAAGATTTTGTGGTGCTCGGCAGTTTGACTTATCCAACAAATGAATGGGTCTTTCTCGGGAATGTTACTGCTGCAAATAATAAACTTGTACAAAGGTTTGTACTTCAGCAACCCAAGTGGGTGAGATATATAAAGTTGAAACTTTTGAGCCATTATGGTTCAGAATTCTACTGCACGCTTAGTATTATTGAACTTTATGGAGTCGATGCTGTTGAGCGAATGCTTGAGGATTTGATTTCTGTTGAAAGCAGTTCGTTTGTTTCTGAGGGAGCAACAGTTGACCAGAAACCTGTACCCTCCCACCCGGACTCCCTTGAGGTTGATGAATTTTATCATGATACTGTTAAAGAATCGGAACCCCAATATGCAGCTGGAGGGTCTAATGTGAATAATGATATGATGAATAGTGAAGTGCCTAATCCTGTCAAAGAAGTTCGTCATCAACAAGTTAATAGGATGCCTGGGGACACTGTTCTTAAAATTTTAATGCAGAAAGTTCGTTCATTAGATTTCAGTTTATCAGTTCTGGAGCGATACCTGGAGGAATCAACTTCAAAATATGGCAGTATTTTCGGAGAATTTGACAAAGATTTGGGAGAGAAAGATACAGATTTACAGAAGATCAGAGAAGACATAAGGAATCTCGTTCAAAGCCAGGAAGACATTGTATGTGAAATTCTACGTCATAGAATTTTGACTATTATTAGATTTGTTATGCTTCTTGTTAATAATAGTATTATCTGTTTTTTTTTGGTAGTATTATGCATTTTACTTTTCTAATGGTTTGTTTTCCTTGCAGGCTAACGATGTTCACAATCTCAGATCTTGGCAGTCCCTAGTTACCATGCAATTGAATAATCTAGTCAGGGACAATGCTATCCTCAGGTCAGATTTTTTTTCTTGAATATTTCTTTTGTGAATCCATGCGGTGTTGAGTTGACAGAGTAACGGTTTTATTTAAAACATTAAAAGCCAAAAGTACAAAAATGAACAAGAAGTCCACCAGTACTATCAAGAAAGTACAGAATCAGCCTTATGCTGAAAGACGTACAACAAGAACATAGCTGATCTTCAATCTGGTAGAAGAATAGAAAAGGAATACTCTTTAAGCTCAAAAGCACCAGATGCCCACAAGGAAGCCCAAAAACAAACCTTATCCTATAAACAGTCTACTTCATCACCAGACACATCCTCAGAAATCCTCTTGTTTCTCCCTGCCCATAAAACCCACAAGACTGCCAATATAGCACCTCCTTAAAGTTACACAAAAATAAAAGGAAAGAAAATTCCGAAAACTGTGTTTTGAATCAGTATATGTTTTTAGGCATTGAACACTAATTTTTTTGGTTTGAATTTAAATAAATTTCAGTGTGAATTAGTCAAGTGTGAAAATTATTTTAGTGAATTATTTTTTAAGCAAGTTAATTCATATACAAGGGGTAGGCAACCTTGTGCTTGTTTTTCAATTGTGTTTTTCACCAAATCTATGCAAGTGGAAGCAAATGTAAGAAACAGATGTTATTGCAGATGAGGTGTACCTTAAGAAATAAGGATTCCTAGTTTGATTTCATCTACTTGTTTTTGCTAGCGAACTATGTGTGTAGGTGGTTGTATAATTTGAACCTAATAAAAGTTGTTATTGACCTTGCAGATCTGAGGTTGAAAGGGTGAGGGAGAAGCAGATATCTGTAGATAATAAGGGTATCTTAATATTTCTTATATGCATAATATTTTCATTGTTAGCTCTTGTGAGGCTTTTCACAGAAATGGCGGTTAGTGTTTATATGGCATTGAGTGTTGATAGAACAACAGAAAAGCCGAGGAAATTTTGTTCGATGAGTTCTTCCTGGCTTTTTTTACTTGTGAGCTGTATCCTTGTCCTGTTTATATTATCATTATAATCTTGGAGCTTTTTGGCTTTCTTGTGGTAATTGCTTTTACTTTTTGGTTGACGCATCCAACATTCCATTTCATTCTGTTGGTGGGAGTGGTCTATGAGTTATGATTTGTAGGTGAACGTCGATTATCAACAATAACCCCTCATACAGCTTTGCATTTATGTTTCTTATGGATCACAGTTTGTATGTAACTCGTTGCGATTTATATTTTGAATTCGTGGGAAAGATAAGAAGGTGAAGAATTGCAAGCATGAGTTATAGGATTCCCCTCAGTCAAATACTTTAATTGCAAAATGAATAGGGTTGTTTACATGATCAATTACATAGACACACAAAACTCTGTAAGAGGTGGAGTCCTATTATTGTATGAGGTAGGGACTCGTATTAGGGGGTATCAATTTTGTTTGTGTGTCCAAACATGGGTTTAAGCCCTATCCTATCATGCTGTCATAAATCCAAAGCTCTCTTCTTATTGCCGTGTGCTCACTTTAATTTTGTCTCTTGATTCCTCTTTGATTTATTCTATCTTCTGTTGTGCGGAAATCACTTCCCTCAAAATAAAGGGAGGGAGGAGCATTTTTCTTGTCATGCACCTTTTGGTTTGTACTTTTTTTTTTTGTCAGATGGTTTGTACTAACAAGTAAGAAAAGAAGCGATTCTTGACTTTGGACAAGATGATGGCATGGGGGTCCTCCCATCTCTCTAATCTCCTATATGGATGCAGATGGGAAGTACCTTCCTGCACACGGCAAACCCTTTCCCCAATCTGTTGTCCAGATGATAAGGAAATGAGCTCCATTTCCTTTTATTCAAAACTAACGATAAGTAGAATTCGGTCTTGTAGCTCTAGTGATTAAGAGTATTTATCTTCACATATAATGCTAGAGTAACGAATCTCCTCCGTAAAATAGAAATATTTTTATATCAATTAGAAAGTGTCGTTCTTCATGATTGATGAAAGAAACATGGAAGGCTTTGGATTATATAGCAATGCACGAAGAATGTTGGATATCTATGATTGTTGGCATGGCATCACCAACTTATTATTGACAATGTAATGATTATATTCTTTAGAAACTAATTACCAATCCTTTTCTATTGTATGAATCAAATTGATTATACATATACGTAATTAATAAAATTTCAAAGATAGGCGACTGGAGGTCATTCTATCAGAGAGTTAGTCTTCTCTAATCGCTCTGATCGGGAAGGAAGTAGCTAATTTTGTAGTTGATGGCTAATTCTCGGGTCCTAGTTTCTTTTTGATAGTCTTATGCTAGTTTGGAGGGTAAGCCTTATGTGTAACTCAACTCGCCTAATCTATTATTATCCTTCTACATGTACGTAAATCTCAAAATTCAAACTCATCCAATGGTAATAAATACAGTGGTGAGGATTATCACTATTTGAAGGTGGTGATCGAAAATGCACCTCACATTTTCAAGTTGGCGAAGGTGGCGAACACTGCACTTGGTCACGCAGCATTCAAGTGGGGGGATTCTAACACCTCATATTATGCTGGTGTGTGTCGAGTGTTTTCCTGGGTCGTGTCCTTACACACACGTATATATACATCTATATAAGCTTTTCCATATGTACAACCCTTTACCAAAGAATGACTTTTATGAGCAGCAAGGAATAACCATCAGTTTAAGTTATGAATCAATCTGCAAAATATGCGCATTATTCATAACATTACTAGCTGCCTAGTGAGCGTGATAAATTGTGACTAGTACTTGTGGAAGAATATATATATATATAATATATATATATTTAGAGAGAGAGAGAGAGAGAGAGAGAGAGAGAGAGAGAGAGAGAGAGTAGAGAAAGAGAGTGATCTAGAATCTAGAGATGAAACCTCCTCTCAGCAACAAGAGGCCAAATTCTTTGTTGTCGTCGTCTTCCTATTCAGTTTTGCTTCTAGCTTTTGTGGTGCCATTTTTTGTGATATCAGTGCTGGTTTGCAGTTTGGGCGTCACGAGTTCGCTTTCGTGGTCATGGAGATTCGGCAACGTATTGGAGACTGAAGACTATTCTTCTTCTTCATCAGCTTTCTCTGCAACTGCAACACCACCAAGGCCTCCTCAAGTTCTTGAAGCCGCTAAACAAGGTCATAACATCACTTCTTCCTCAAAACCAAATGAAACAGTTGTCCCTCGTCAAAATATCGTAAGATTTCTTGGTACTTTGTCTTTCTTTTTATTACAAGTGACACTACTACTCTAAGCTAGACTAAGAGGAGTGAGAGGGTCTGAACTCTAAACCCGAGATGCAATGGGTTGAAGAGAAAGCTCTATCCACCACCACTGGCAATTAATTTCTTTCTTCAAGCTCACACGAATTTCCTGTTTATCTAACGGCACTAATTGAATGTACCGCAGGGAGAAAAACAAGGGATGGTGTGGATTAATGGTACAGAATCTGATGAAATTAATGGGACATCGGCTATAATAACTGGTACATCAATAAAGAGATATAGCAGGTTGGAGAAACTTGAAGCAAATTTGGCCGGAGTCCGGGCTTCCATAAGAGAAGCTGCTCGAGTCCGAAATCTAACTTCTAGCCATGAAGATCCAGACTATGTTCCTCGTGGACCAATTTACAGGAATGCAAATGCTTTTCACAGGTACGTATAATCTTAATAATTATTCCATATATAATCTCTACCTCTCTTTGTAATGGTACTAATAAATAATTAGGTAAAACTTCCACAAATACTATGTGGACTATTAGGGTTGTGCGTAAATATATACCATCTAAACTAAAAACTTGTCAATATGACAAATGATACTCTTAACACATATTTGTACATCTCTCTAATAGAGATGAGACAAACATGTGTTAGTGGCCCTATTTCTATTAGAGAAGTACTACAAATTTGTGGTAAGTGTAATATTTCTATTAGAGAAGTACTACAAATTTGTGGTAAGTGTAATATTATGTTCTCAATCTATGAGTTAAACTTGTGTTTTAGAGTGAATGTTCCACCTCCATTATTTTTAGTTAAAAAATTTAGTTCAAACGTTTTCATGTGCAACACATTTGAGTCTTTTTCAAGGCTATTTTGCCAATTAAAAGACCCATAGATGGCTTAAGATAAAAATGTAGTTGATTAAAGTTCGTGGGTGGGACAATATATTATGCGTCCTTGAAAGACAAGCTGTGTTTAATGAAATTTTTATCACAAGTTGTCTGGGGCTAATGAATTGGTGCGTGAAAAAAGTGCTCACGCGCACAACACATAGCCGTTTTGATGTAATTTTTTACGGATATTGACAGAGATGGTACATTTACACTAAACGTGGAGTTTGTATGGTAAATTGGCAAGACTTCAAATTTTGGGGACATTTGCGCACACCTTTAATAGTCCATGGAGTGTTTGTGCAAATTTCTTTAATGTTCATGAGGAAGTGTATTAGAAAAGTGATCCGCAAGATGATCGCTGATGAAATATGGTACAAATAGTTTTATTGTCATCTAACTATATCTGTATCACTGCAGGAGTTACTTGAAGATGGAAAAGCATTTCAAGATATATGTATACGAAGAAGGAGAGCCACCGATATTTCACAACGGTCCATGCAAAAGCATATATTCGACAGAAGGGAGATTTATTCATGAAATGGAAATGGAGAATATTTACAGAACAAGAGATCCAGATCAGGCCCTCGTTTATTTTCTTCCCTTCAGCGTGGTGATGCTGGTGCAGTACCTGTACGTGGCCGACTCCCACGACACTCAGCCCATCGGGCGAGCTGTCGTCGACTATGTCAATGTCATTTCGGATAAGCATCCCTTTTGGAATCGAAGTCTTGGTGCTGATCACTTTATGCTTTCTTGTCATGATTGGGTAACAGCAAATCTTATATGTTCCTCCCAACCCTTTCCCTCTTCTTCTTTTTTTTCTTTTTCTTTCCCTTTTTGATTGTCTCTACATTTTTGTAAAATATAGTCCAATATATATTAGTGATCACTTGATTAATTTAGTGATAATTATTTGCACTTTTGGTGACAACTTAAACTTTTGTGTATAGTAGTTGTACAACATGATATATATTTATTTTAGGTTAAACGAAATTTTGGAACATTAATTATCCCTTTTTTTTCATGTCTAACCCTTTTTTTTATGCCAACATGTGTCTAACTCTTTATCTACGGATGAGATTGCACATTAGGGTTGATGTTCGCTTGATATATGTTGTTGGTCTCGTTCCCTAGCTTACAATGTAAAATAATGGTACCAAACTAGTTAGTTATGAATTGATTTTGTCTATGTACACATACAGGGGCCGAGCACATCTGCATATGTTCCTCATTTATACCAAAACTCCATAAGAGTGCTATGCAACGCAAACACATCCGAAGGATTCAACCCTTCAAAAGATGTCTCATTTCCAGAAATCCATCTCCGAACGGGGGAAACCAAAGGACTTCTCGGTGGTCTCTCCCCATCCCGAAGGTCGATTCTTTCCTTCTTCGCAGGCCGGCTTCATGGCCACATAAGGTACCTGCTTCTAAACGAATGGAAAGAAAAAGATCAAGACGTGCAAGTTTACGACCAACTCCCCAACGGTGTATCCTATGAATCAATGTTGAAGAAGAGCAGGTTCTGCTTGTGCCCTAGCGGTTACGAAGTGGCAAGTCCGAGAGTGGTGGAAGCCATATACGCAGAGTGTGTTCCGGTGTTGATTTCGGACAGCTATGTTCCACCGTTCAGCGATGTTCTGGAGTGGAAGTCGTTTTCTGTGCAAGTGCAAGTGAAGGACATACCAAACATCAAAAGGATACTGATGGGAATATCACAAAGTCAGTACTTGAGAATGCAGAGGAGAGTGAAGCAGGTGCAGAGGCATTTTGTGGTGAATGGACCTTCCAAGAGATTCGATGTTTTCCATATGATTGTTCACTCCATTTGGCTCAGGAGGTTGAATATCCGCATTGAGGATGAACGAGTTGAGTAGAATCTTTTTACTTCAGTCCTATATATTACATGCATGGTAGTATGGTACATGGCATGGGACCGTAACAATTTTTCGCTTTTACAACTGGGCAAAGTAGAATAAAAATAATAAATATATATGAGGGAATTACCAGAGGATCATGATGTATAAGGAGTAGATTCTCTCCCCTCCTATTTCCATCTCATTCCTTTCCTTCCTTTCACATATTACTTTTTGTCTTATTGTCACTATAAAAAAATCAATATAAAATGTTAACGTGACTAAACCGTAACCGTTCAAATAGGAGGGGAGGGAAGGGGAGAGAGATTAGGAGGGGAGAGAATTCTCCTCCAATTCATAAAGTTATATCTCTAAGACCGTCTCCAACCCATGAGATAAAACTTAAAATATAAGCTTTAGAACCCCTCCAAACCATCTCCAACTATTGGGATAAAATAAGCCCTGAGGATAAAATATATCTTTAGGCTGAATTCTCCTCAGGATATAAGCTTGCCTTAAATTATTCTAAACCCACCAAATTGATTTATTTCAAACCTTTTTTTTTTTTTACTATAATTTAATGGCTATGATCAAATGAGATCAAATCTAGTAGTAAAAAAAAAGATTTGGAGGCTCAAAATTAATTCTAACGTCTAAACTTTGTAAATACTTATGTATTTGTTTGATTTTTAATTACTTATCGGAATTGAAATATTTTTATATTATAATATTCATAAAAATAAATTAGGATAATCTACGTAAATTTTATTTCCAAAAAATTACCGGAAAAAAAAATTAGGCTAAAAATATTATTTAACAATCTTGAGCTAAAATTTTAAACCATAAAGGGTTGGAGAGAAAAAAAAAAATTATGGGTTATGGCTTAAATTTTTAAGCTTTATCCCCAAAAGTTGGAGATGATCTAAGACAATTAGTTTCTTACTTTATTCTTGCAAACATCAGATTTTTAATTATCACTTTGCTTACTAACGTATAAATAGAATAGTGTCGGGTTATAATTTGTCATCTCCAATGGTGCAGAGACTATTTTGTTCCTCTCAACATTTAATTACTTTTTAGCATATTGAGGCATATTATGGTACAAAACTCACACATCAACTATTATGTTGTTTATATAGTAAAATCATTATACGGTAATATTTTATAAAATAATAACTTCCTTAAATTCATAAAAAAGTTCATGTCCCAACTTGGTACCGTTTTGTATAAGAATAAACTTTACACTTCACATTGTAATAAATAAATTTTTTTAATCCTATCTTAAGGAAACACATATTCACATAGTAATAGTTGGCAATGGGTATAACAATATGGAATATGACAAATAAAAGTTTAAGATGGACTAAAATATTTCTTTAAAGTTGTTTGGGACAATACTTTAGTTTTTAGAATTTATGTGTTTTTGAGCTTGCATGTATATAATATTTCGTCAACATTGACACCTTCTTGTTGAAGCCAAAATGTTTGTTACTTCTCTAACATGTTTATAGCTTCTTATCATGAAACTTCTGGTATTTGCATACGGTCATTTCAAGAATCTTTTTCAGAAAATAGAACACTCATTAAGGATATATAAGTCAACAAATAATTTTTTTTAACTACATCTCTATTAAGTAATACCTCCTTAAAATTAAAAAATTGGTTTGGTCCCAACTTACTTTCTTGAGGTTTTACTGTATTAATTAAACTATTATTACACTTATCTAAATTATTTTATGGAACAATTTTAATAAGATGTATATCAGCAAATATTTCGGATATGACACGTGTAAGGTTGTAAACCAATTAGCGAGATTTGTGTTAAGGTGGAACCAATTAGCCATATTTTTAATACCTATTTTTACGTTTTTTAAAATAAAATTGAACAAAAGATCTAACAGCTAGTTGACGTCAACCTATCTTTTTACTTGGACTGTTGGATGTACGCAGGTGCTTTATCTTGTGTTCTAGCAAGTGCGATGTATTTTGGCTTTGAGAATGTTACCCTGTACACATTTCTCTAAACTAGCTAAAGATACGAGATCATATACCAGTGCAAACATACCTGCAAGAATAGACGTACCTAACAGACATCGAGTTAACATCCCGAAGGGGTGTGCTACCCCTGAAGGATGGTTGGTCTTCCTTATTGGATGGCCTGGTACACCAACGGATAGCCAATCAACCTATCAATGGCCTAAAGCGCAACATATCACTTGATTTGTGTGATCACTTCCTTTGAAGAGAAAGAATAAGGCACAAAATGAATCCATATTCGATCGTTGTATCAATTATTTTCATCTCATGAAATTAATTTGGATTACTCTCGAGAATTGAAATTCTTGGTCCAGTATACTAGTTTAGGGACAGTATATGAAATTGGAGTGAGATTAGCATCGATGATGTTTCAATTATATGGTTACTACCAATATAAATGAAAAACGACGATATCGAACTGCATTCCGTTGATTAGTGACGACGTAGAACTAATTGACCTATTAAAATTACAATACAGGTTGAAATTAGATTCCTTATCAAAGAGTGTTTGGACCCAACTGAAATTACAATTCAGGTTGAATTAGGTTCCTTATCAAAGGTTGTTTGGACATGTCGTTCCTACGTTGCCCAATCTAATCATGTTATATTATAAGTGGGAAAGGAAGTATAATGAGATGAATGAAATAGTGCAATATAATGCACGTCTTATGGTGCAAGGTTTCTCTTAAACGCCTTGTGATTGATTATAGCACATGAATTGGTTATAGGATTTCTCCATGGGAATATTGATATGAAGATTTACATGTAAGTTCTCAAAAAGTTACATGAACTGATTCAACTTGTTTAGACCACGGAACACCTTTCAACTCATTTGAGGCGTTCACTTTACAGTTTGAAACAATTCGGGCAGATGTGATATACCCGTCTAAGTGATTATGATATGAATAATCAATAAACTATGGTGGCGTGTTAAATTAAAATGTCATTCTCCAAATTGCTAAAGTTACAACTTATGTCAATGACATGAATCTCTCATAGACTGTAGAAGAGTTTGAGAAAACTACCTCGAACCTGAAGAAGGAATTTGAGATGAATGATCTTGGGAAAAGTCGTTTGTGTCTTAGTCCATCAGTCGAACCACGTCCAACAGGTGTTGCTTTTGAGTACACCCATGATCATTCATACGCTAGATGCAAATGAGACCTTGAAGAGGTTGTGGAATTCAAAATTCCATATCTAAGTTCAACTTTCGCTTTGATGTAAACAACTTATTGCATTAAACAAGACATCTTCTTCGTTGTTGATTTGTTGGTAAAGCTACAGTATTGCGCCTACACTTAGCCATTGAATTGGCACTAAAGATATTTTTCCACTCCCTTGAAGGTACTACGGAGGCTTATCCGTATGCATCCCGAGCAAATTGAACCCCCATGATCCTCATAATGATACTTGCCTTGTTTGTTGTGTTGACACCGGTTACTTAACAAACCCACACAAGGCAGACTCCCAAATGGTTATGCCTTTAACATTAGAGATACTACAATTTTCTGGAGGTCCAGGTGTAGAGCCTAGTTGTGAAATCTTCGAATCTTTCCAAGACTCACCACACCTCACAACACTACAAGTGAAAGACATGGTTCAAAGCTCTTGTTAAGCATATTTGATATTTTAAGTACCTACGATTTTTTCACCCATCAATGAGTCCCAACGCCAATATATGGAGACAATGCCACATGAATCGACCAGAACAATACATGATACATCAACAAAGTCAACACCAAGCACATTGCGCACTCATCACATCAGTAAAGCATCAGAAGATTGAAGTCAAGCAATCTGAACCCATGAGAACCTTGCCAACCTCTTCACGAAGTCACTACCGAAGTTTACCTTCCAAAAACTTATCCAATGAATTGGTATGCGTAACTATCTCATTTGTAGTGCTTGTTGTTCTCACTCGGAAGTTATGCAACTCAGAGAGTATCCAGAAATATACTCAATTGACCTTAATGTACTATTTTCCTTAAAATTAGGAGCATTTTTCCCACTGGTATTTTTGCTACCTGACTAGGTTTTAACGAGGTATGATCCTAAGCTAGTCATACCCTTATGTGCAAGGGTGTGCATTTTGCTTGCGTCTTGAAGGCGTTTAGTTTTGACTTAGTGCAACTTCTCACTTTTCCCCTTACACTATGAGTTTTATCTCACCTTAGGTTTTACCATAGTCAAGTTTTGTGAGTTTTACTACATATGCATTCTCCCGTTTGTTTTTGAGACTCGCATTTGGCATTCATTCATAGTGCTGACTAGATGAAAGGATTTCATCAACTGCTTCTGCGTTTGCCTAAAGAACTGATGCTCCTACTTGAGTATTTCCACTCAAAGGGGAGTGTTGTGAATATATTTATATGATATTATTGTGTAAATCTGTAGTAGACTTGGTATAGAATCTATGAAATCTAGAAGATATTTCCTTGTACAAGTTATACAACTTGGAGAGTAATTTTCTCTCTCCTTATTGTTTACTATAAATAAAGACATAAGAAATAAGGAATAATATAGAGAACTCTTCAAGCCATTTTTCCTCTCTTTTTTACTATGTGCCGCATCCCTTTAGTAAAGATAGGCAACAACAATTAAGAAATTTGTGGGTGGGTTGGTGAATTGACCACAAAAAGTATAATGGCAAAGGGTAACAGTAAAAATAAATGGTAAAGAAACTGACAGTCGATGGATTAAATTAAGGAAGTTTTAAAAGAGGAAGTTTTTACGAAACGCTACCAATACTGTTCACTTTTAACGATAAACCATTTTTTTACCTTCCCTGATACTATTTACTACACTTTTATTTGTCATTTTTCATTAAAAAAAAAAAAAATTTTAACTCTTCATTAGTTTTTCTTTAAATTAATAGTGAGGAGAGAGTAAAAAGTAATGAAAAAACTCCAACAGGTAACCTTTGTCATAAAACATCCCACATTGCTGTTGCTAGGACGGAGATTCCCTCAACAAGCCGGGAGACGGTATGGATTTTCACTCGGAAACTTAGCTAAACATAGTTGCATTAAAATATCATAAAGACAGTTGCAACAAATATCATAAATTGGACCAATCCTCCATTATGGGAAGAAATATCATAAACTGGAAAGGCTGAAGC